TTAGGGTCAAAAACAAGGGAAGTACGTCCATGCTTACCACTCCTATTCAACATTGAGCTGAAGTGCTAGCCAGGGCAAAAAAGCAAGGAAAAAAACAAAGTGGGGACTAGAGTTTGGAAAGGAAAGAACAGAACTATCCCCACTCATAGAAAACATGATTGTCTATGTAGAAAATCCTGACAAGGCTATAAAAAATCGTCCTGGAACTATGAAGTAAACTTGGGAATGTCACAGGATCCAAATCAATATACACCAAAAAATCAATCATATTTCTATACATTAGGTATTTACAATTAGAAAACAAAAATTTAAAAATAATTCTACTTACAATGGCTCTAAAAAATAAATACACAGGCACAAATCTAACCAAAATGGACACAATCTGTATGCTTAAAACTATAAAATGATAATTAAAACATCAACAAAGATCTAAATCAATGAAAAGGCATACAGTGTTGTTGAAATGTAAGATTCAGTATAGTAAAATTGATAATTCTTCCCAAATAGATGAAGAGATTTAATAAAATTCCAATCAAAATCCCAAAAGGATTTTCCCATAGCCAAATCTCAAATTTATATAGAAAAGCAAAGAAATTAGACTAGCTAAAACAATTTTGAAAAGGAAGCACAAAGTAGGAGGAATCACACCAACTAATGTGAAGACTCACTTTAAAGCTAAATTAATCAAGCTTTGCTTTAAAGTTAAATGTAATCAATTAAAGTTTAATCACTGCCTTGATGAAGGCAGTCACAAGAGATCAATGAAACAAAATAGAGTCCAAGAAATAGGGCCACACAAAGCATTGGCAATTACTTTTGATAAAGATGTAAAATCAATTAAATGAAGAAATGGTAGCCTTTTTCAATAACTGAACAATTGGATATCTATGTCGGGCGCCTAGGTGGCTCAGTCGTTGGGCATCTGCCTTCAGTTCAGGTCATGATCCCAGGGTCCTGGGATCGAGCCCCGCATCGGGCTCCCTGCTCTGTGGGAAGCCTGCTTCTCCCTCTCCCGCTCCCCCCGCTTGTGTTCCCTCTCTCGCTGTGTCTCTGTCTGTCAAATAAATAAATAAAATCTTAAAAAAAAATAAAACTTACATGTCACTTAAAAAATAAGTCAAAATGGATCATAGAACACATGTATCTATGGCCAAATGATTTTTGACAAAAGTGTCAAGACTATCCAATGAGGAAAAGATAGTTTCTTTAATAAGTGGTGTAAGACAACTGGATATACACATGCAAAAGAGTGAAGTTGGTCCCCAACCTCATGCCGTGTACAAAAATTAACTCAAAGTGGACCAATGACCTAATATAAGAGCTAAAATCATAAAATGCTTACAGAACATATGGGGAAATGTTCATAGCCTTGGATTTGGCAATACATTCTTTGATATGACACGAGCATGAGCACCAAAGAAAAATAGATAAATTGTAAATAATCAAAATGGTAAAACTTTGTGCATCAAAGGACATTATCAAGAAAGTAAAAATACAACCCACAGGATGGAAGAATATATTTGGAAATCATGTATGCGAGAGGGGTCTAGTATACAGAGCAAAGAACACTTACCAAAAAAATTTTTTTTTCAATGGGCAAAGGACTTGAATCTCTTTCTTCAAAGAAGATACATAAATGGTCAATAAGCACATGAAAAGATGCACAACATGATTAGGAATTAGGGAAATGCAAATCAAAACCACAGTGAGATACCACCTCACACCCAGGAGAATGTCTATAACAAAACCCAGAATATAGTAAGGGCTGGGGAGGATGTGAGATCGGAGACGTGGCATATTGTTGGTGGGGGTGGAGAATGGTCCAGCTTCTGCGGAAAATAATAAGATGTCTCCTCAAAAAGTTAGAGTACCCATAGGACTCATCAATGCCACTCCTCGATATATACTCCAAAGAAGTGAGAGCAGGGACTTAAGTGCACGTGCACACATGTTCAGAGCGGTACTATTCACAGAAGCCAGAAGTCCCAGCAGCCCAAACACCCAGCGGATAAGCAAACTATGTGTATCCATCCAATGGAATAACTTCAGCCATAAAAATTAAGTACTGACAGGTACTCCAGTGTGAATGAACATCAGAAACATTAGGCCGGATGGGAGAAATCAGAGCAGTCACCCGCTGAATTACCCCATTGCATGAAGTCCAGAGTAGGAAAATCCAGTCAAAAAGCAGACCAGGGGTGGCCAGGGGTTGGGAGTCACTGCTGAATGGGCTCTGGATTTGGGATGATGAAAATACATCTCCTTTGGGAAATAAATGAAGTTAACTCACATTGTAAATGTACTAAATGCCACTGAATTGTTGACTGTATGGTGGTGAGTTTCAAGCTGTGTGAATTTCATCAACTGAAAAAATTTAAAAATGGATCACAGATCTAAATGTAGTCAGTAAAACCATAAAGCTTTTAAAAGAAAAC